TTGTAAATTCCCAAAGAGCAGGAATGATGGGAGTTTATCTCATAAATGCTCCTCTTCTATCTTTGTCTTTATAGTGGTAGGTAACATAGTTTTAGGCCAGTGATTCTCGATCTGGCACACTGTAATTTGAAAGATCAATTTCTCTATAAACAACATGAGCTTAGCAGGTAAAAATGATGCTTGAAGGGATGGGGTACATTTTCATCTGCTACATTTACATAAAGTGTTTGGATGTTTTAAAGCCCCTTCTTCCTACCATTCTCTCTTTGACTTTTCATATTTTTCTCAGAAAAATCTTTCCATTTCATTTGCAAGCCTAGAAAGTAACACTAAACAGTAAATAATACTAGTGTTACTGACATACTTTACAAAAGAGAAGAAATACCATGAAGTAAAATGTAATAACCTATTGATGATTTATCATGCTCCGGGCACTATATGCTAAATGTTAACCAAATCTATTCTAGTTGCAAAGCAACTGCCATAATATACATTTCCAGATGGACACACTGAGGCCCAGGAAGGTGACTGGCACCAGGTTACTCAGCTACTAAAACAGGGACTGAGTCCAGGTCAACACTGGCTCCACCGCATTTATTCTTTTTTTCCCTTTAAGTTGAGGTATTATTTACATTCAATAAAATCCAACCACTCTAAGTGTACAGTTTGATCAATTTTGGTAATAATACAGTGAGGTAACCACTACCATTATAATCAAGATATAGAACAGTTCATCTCCCTAAAAAATGTCCTTATGCCCTTTTGCTGTTGAACCCACGGCCCCTGGCAACCATTAATTTGCTTTCTGTACTATAGTTTGTGTACCCTTTTGACAACTTCACATTAATGGAATAAATGTGTTTGGCTTCCTTTATGTAGCACACAGTATTTTTGAGATTTATCCATGATGTTGCCTGTGTTAATATATTTTTCTTTTTTCTGTTTTGTTAATCCTCACGCAAGGATACTTTTTCCATTGATTTTTAGGGAGACTGGCAGGGAGGTGGGGGAAGGGAGTATGGAGAGAAAGAAAGAGAGAAACATCAATGTGAGAGAGACACCTCAATTGGTTGCCTCTCACATGCACCCCGACTGAGGTCGGGGACTGAACCTGCAACCCAGGTACGTGCCCTTGACTGGACATTGAACCTGCAATGCTCTAACCACTGAGCACGTTGGCCAGGGCAATATTTCTTTTCTTTTTATTGCTGAGTAGTATTCCATAGTACTAGTATGGAAATACCACAGTTTACCCATTCCCCAGTGGTTATGAAATGAAATATGTCCCCCCCAAATTTATACACTGTAGCCTTAACTCCCAATGTGACTGTTTTTGAAGATAAGGTCTTTAAAGAAGTAATTAAGGTTAATGAGGTCATAAGGGTAAGGCCCTGATCCAATAGGACTGGTGTCCTAATAAGAAAAGGAGATACTGGGACTGCACAGAGAAAAGCCATGTGAGGGTCAAGAAAGAAGGCATCCATCTGCCAGCCAACGAGAGAGGCCTCAGGAGAAACTGACCCTGCTGGTACCTTGTTCTTGGACGTTCAGCCTCCAAAACTGTGAGAAAATAAATTTCTGTTTTGTTAGGGCAGCCCCAGTAAAGTAATACACCAGTCGACAGACATTTGAAAGCCTTTACTCTTAAATCCCAACACTGAAGAGCCAGTATTTCAACCTATCAAGTCCTTGAAAGTACCCAGAAATTTCCTTAGAGTTTCCACAAACTTCATTCTCTAAGTGTTTGCTTTTAGTAGCATCATCTAAGATGAATGAAAAATAACTTTGCAATCAAATTTTATTTTATTTCATTATTACTACCATAGCATTAGTTTTTATTCATCATTATACTTAAAGCTGTTATTTTATGAATTAAAATCAGTGTTTTAATAGGTATTTTTAGATTCCACATATAAATGAGATCATGTGATACTTATCTTTCTCTGACTGGCTTATTTTATTTAGTATAATACTCTCCAGGAATATATTCATTTTAAATAAAAAAAAAACCAGGTAAGCTGCCCAGGTAGCAAATCAGTAATGGATCAAGGATTTAAACCCAGATCTGTATGCCCTTCCTCCCCCAAACTGCATTATTTCCACTATACTAGGCGGAAGAAAAAAACTTATGCAATTATCAAAGGTATCTGTGTGGGAAGAGCAACAAAGAAAAGAAGGCAAAGTTTCATCTACTTCAGTTTACCTAGGGATCCTGTGCATACCAAGTCCTGGAAAGCAGACTCCCAGTCTGCGCTGACTAGAGGCCTCGTTGGAAGTATGGTTAAAATTCCTGCCACTAACATGGAAGACTATGTTCTGAAAGTAAAACTGATCCTTCTGGAGGTGCACTAAATCTCCAAGATCAATAAAGTATTCTTTAGCTAACTCTTATAAAGGAGCTAAATGCAACTTGAGTGATCTTTCAGGGAAAACCCAAGAGTAGAAATCACACTGGATTAAGAGACTGACTGGCAGAATAAAGTGTGTGTCCAAGCCACAGATGACGATTTGCTGGCTGCATGACATCAGCAAGTTCCTTTACCCTTTTTAGAAAATGAAAACACTGCCATGTTTTAAACAAGATTACAATAAAGATGAGATGAATGAGCATCATTTTCAATTTTCCTATCAAAGTGGCCCAATGGCAAAGGAAAAATGAATCAAAGAGCTTTTTTAAAAAGATTCTTAAAAAATGTTTTAGAGGGACAGGGAGAGAGAAAGAGAAACATCAATTGGCTCCTACCAGAGCATGTGTCCTGATCAGGAATCAAACCGGCAACCCCTTCGGTGCACAGATGGTGCTCAACCAACGGAGCCACACCAGCCAGAGTGACCCTTTTGATGTTTTAAAATATATTACAGAATCATAGAATCTTCTGCATGAAAGCAATCATTAAGATGACCTAATTTCAGTCCCCTTTTCTTAAAGATGAGAACATTTAGAGGCTAAAGGGGGCAATTTAAGTCACATGCACCAAGTAGAAAGAACATAAGCAAAATCTTCTTTAAAAGCAGAGAATTAAAGAGAATCTAAACAAAGTATCAAAACCTTTTAGAAAGAAAAATGTCTTCTAGCTTCATTTTTACTTTACACAGAAAATAAAAAATTATATCCTCTCCCTCTTGCAAAAGAGAACTCACATCATGTCAGATTCAATCTTTCCTCAAATACACACTCACTCCTTCAGGCAGACACACTACCATGCTGTCCTTTCCTTTTACATTCGACTCTACATCTAACCACCTGGCTGAAGTGTTTTCACAAACTTTCACAAAATCGCAGAAGCTCAGCAAGTTAAGCGTGCCTATTCATCTTCACCCCTATGTACCTACATCTAGAAAAAAAATTAGAGGTAGCACAATCTGAATGTAAAGTGACCGTTCTTTTAGAAATTAGAACATAGAGATGAATACTGTGGAGTAAATTTTTATTGTTTCTAAGACCCTCAAAACGGGGATACTAGCTCTTTAGAACAAAATGTGCCCACAGTGAATGAGAACCGCACTGTCAAGCACTGTCATGGGTTCTCTGCAGAGCTCACTAGGAGGTAGACTGCATGTTGGAGCCAAAAGAAATATGAAATATATATTTTAGAGATAACCTGAAATCTGCCCTAAGGAACTCCACTGGCATTTTAACATCCCTACTCAAGAGGGAAAGGGGCTATATTGTACACAACCCTAGATTTAACCAGGATGTCCCCCAGGTGTATCAAGAGTTAGCTTGTATATCTGAAAGGATAAGAGTGTACAACCTGATATCACTCACTTGACAGAGGAGAAAACTTAAATCAATGGCTGTATAGGTCCTTCTGACAACTGATAATTTCAGTTTAGATGACCTCAGCAGTGGTAATTCTCAGAGGAAAAGAATGTACTAGGAACGCCAAAGAATGGGGAATTGGCCCATTCACACTTAGGAAGTAGTACTGAGAAGTGAGAATGCTCACCAGGATACCTATCTCTCTCATCAAGTCAGGATTGAGAATATGATGTCTTCTTCAAAGTATTTATTTGATCCATAGACACTTGGGAGGAGAATTGATGCCAGCCAGGAATTTCTTCCAGGATTAATTAATACAATGACTTTCTGGTTAACAAGGTTTTGATGCTCCAGAACTCAATCCAATAATTATTACTGACAAAAATATTTCTAACCTAAAAAGCTGTTGACACCTATATACTACGTAAACTCTATTAATGGGATGTCCAGTTTGAACTGTGGCTATCTACCAAAATGAGAAAATTCTGAGTTATGCATAAATAAGTTGACTTAGTCCTTCACATTATCTAACCCACTCCTCCCTCTGTCCCTTCACCTCCCTCCTTTCCTCCTCCTCTTTCCTTACTCCACCTCCATGGTATGCAGCAGGGTCAGCTAAGTTCTCTGTAAAGGACCAGATAGAAAACAGTTTAGGCTTTTTGGGCTCTACCGTTGTAACACAACAGTAGCCACAAGACAATCCATAAATGAATGGGAGTGGGTGTGTTTCAATAAAGCTCTTTATAAAAGTAGGCAGTGGGCTCACAGGGCTGTAGTTTGTCAACCCCTGGCACACTGTAGCCATTCCCAAACTTTAGTCTCCATCACAATCACCTACAGGACTTGTTAATATACAGATTTCTGGGCCCCATCCTTAAAGTTTATGATTCAGCACATCTGGAGTGGGACTTGAAATTCGACATTTTTAATAAGTTCCCAAAGGATGCTGATGCTCCAGGGACCACACCTTCAGAACCACTAGTATAAAATAATGGTCTACATTTTACTCATTAAAATGTTGAAATGTAATAAACAATTAAAAAGTGGAAATATCCCAATAAATCATCACTTAGTTATATAATGTCTAATCACTGGGGTGTACACCTAAAACTAATATAATACTGTATGTCAACTGTAATAGAAAAATTTAAAAATTACTAAAAAGAAAAAAAACATGGAAATAACATGCTGTAAACTTGACTGCTAATTTTATAGGATATTTCACATGAAGACTTACTGTTAAGTGCCATAATATTATCTGTTCCTGGATGATGGAAATTTATTCCCATGCGTCCTAAAAAATAAAATAATTTTATTTTAAGCACAAAGAAAATAATGCTTAATATAATCATTTCAAAACATTGTAAAATACCAACATTACAAAAAGCTAAAACAAATTAATCGACAACAAACAATGCTATCAAAGGCCATAGCAATCACAAAAGTTTTTAAATCAAATAATAAAATATACACATGAAAAATTTTAAAACAAAGCCAAAGTCTCAATAACAACAAACAAAACAAAACAAAACAATAAGCTCCCATTATAATCTTCTGAAACTTTAATGCATCTCTGCATTCCGATTTAAACATGCCAACTCCCTGAATTAAGCATTTTATTTAAACAACCATTCACAGTGCCCTTCAAATTCAAGCAGAAAAATAATGAATTCAAGAACTATATAAACTTGAAGCTAAGGAGGAATAAAAAGATAAAGTGCTCATAGTGCCTCAAAAATGCAACGATTACCAGAATGGCAACTGGAAGAAAGATGGTGAAATTTATATGATGAATTGGGGAACAATGACTAGCTAAAAACCTGGGGTTCTTATTGCTGCCCCTATCACTAATTAGTTGTATGACCTTGGGCATAATGTTTATCTTCAGACCTTTGTCCTTATAGTAGTTACAGGGGTTGCAAACTTCTGCCCACACTGGCTGGCTACCTGTGTTTGTTCCCCTCCTTGAGCTAAGAATCATTTTTACATTTTTAAAGGGTTATAAAACAAAAATTAAAAAACAAATAATGTGTGACAGAGACCATGTGGCCCACAGGCCTAACATATTTACTTCTGGCCCTTTACAGACAAAGTGACAAGAATAAATCAGATATTTCAACTAACAGCCTTCAAGGTTAAGAGCAGAAGATGTAGACATTTGATTTGCTTTTTCATTATTTATTTAGGAAAAGGAGGCGGGTGTTTCAAAACAAAAATGAAACAGAGAGAGTTTTATATGAGAAAAAATGTACTTAGTAAGTTTTCTTGACCAATTCCCGCAACAAAATCATTACTGAAACAATGCTTTTGTGTAAAGCTAATATCTACGAACTTGGCTCTGCTAGGTGTTCATGTCCAATTGTGTCAAGAGTTAACATGAAATTCTCAGAAAAATGTTAATTTCAGGTCACTACCATTGTTTAAATAAATGTCAACAGCATTTGGGGGGAGAGTGGTGCAGAGAAAGCTGGAGATAAGGAAGTGATTGACTCTTACAACAAATACAGTGTTATAAACAACTGCAAAAGGCCAGTCAACATTTGGTATTGAATTCTGTTATGGGGTACTGAAGGCAAAGAGCATTATCAAACTCTTCTGGCCCAAAAGGGAAAAATCACAGTATTTGCCTCAACTAAAAAGGGGGAATCATGAATTCCTTGTGAAATCAAAACCATCGTAATCTCTTAAAGACCCTCATCATAGTAATTTGTGAAAGGTCATTTCATATTAAGGCATAAGGAAAAAACAAAACTCTTAAGTGTAATGTTGCTTGCATTGATGTGTGTGTATGTGTGTGACAGAGAGAGTAATTAAGAATGGAAAAATCATCAACAGTTGATGGATTCTGCTTAATTAAGAATAGAAAAATCGCCCTGACGGGTTTGGCTCAGTGGATAGAGCGTAGGCCTGCGGACTGAAGGGTCCCAGGTTCGATTCCGGTCAAGGGCATGTACCTTGGTTGCGGGCACATCCCCAGTAGGGGGTGTGCAGGAGGCAGCTGATGGATGTTTCTCTCTCATGGATGTTTCTAACTCTCTATCCCTCTCCCTTCCTCTCTGTAAAAAATCAATAAAATATATATATATAAAAAAGAAGAACATCCTTAAAAAAAAAAAAAGAATGGAAAAATCATCAACAGTTGATGGATTCTGCTGAAACTGTTCTAATTTTATCAAAAAGCATTAAAGAACTTTCCGAAAAAAATTATTTTCAGTTTTTATTATTTTAAACTTCCTTATTCGGAGGAAGATATTACATCTATCTCTAATTTTGTGGAAACTATTTTGCTAACATTTATATTATGGTAAAATTCTTTTTAATAATATATTTGAATGTTTTCTACAGAAAAATCATCATATTAGTAACAAATCATCTCTTAATAACTGAATTGACTGTTTTATTGTTTTTAATGAATTTTTTAAGATCTTTTCATATTTACCAGAAGCTAATAATTAGGAGTTTCAAAAACTACCAATTGTTAAAAGACAAATTTAACAGTATCTATGTGTCATATGTTTTTCCAGCTCCTAAGTCAAGTTAGAGTCCCTAAAAATTATAGTCTGTACCATATGCTGGGAGTGCTATCTCCTACCACCACCTTGATCAGAGCCTATTATAGGAAAATTTGTCACCAGAACAGACTTTGACTCAGTAGAGAGAATTTCATTCTGATTTTAGTTAGCTATATCAATATTCTCCATTATTTTCAGATAACCAAGATACTCTATGGATTCATTACCACCAAATACTAACAGTCATGAAAACTAGATGTGATTTACACATATTCTGAGGTATTCACATTTAACAGTAAATAGCCCAGTCACTGCAAAGTCTGCCTAAAAACGCAACGAGAGTTCAAAATCACTGCCTATCCGAACTTTAGGAAATATTATGTAGAGAAGGTCTCTCTGATCTTTAAGCAAGGAATATTCAGAGGTAAGTGTGGTTCTTAAAAGCTAGGAATGTTCCCTAAACATTCCTAGAATAATAAAGGGTTACCAAGAAAGCAAAGTAAACCCAAATTTAGCTGATCCTCATTCAACTTCTTTTATTTCTTGTGCTAAGCTCATTAATGGTAAAGAATTATGTAGTTTATGCCTGGCTCATGTGGCTCAGCAGTGACTGAGTTGAGTGTTGACCCAGGAACCAAGAGGTCACTGGTTTGATTCCCGGTCAGGGCACATGCCAGGTTGCAGACTAGATCCCAAATAGGGAGCATGCAGGAGGCAGCCAATCGGTGATGTTCCTCTCTCATCGATGTTTCTATCTCTCCATCCCTCTCCCTTCCTCTCTCTAAAAATCAATAAAGACATTTTAAAAAGAATTATGTAGTTTACAATCACTGCATCAAATAATAGTTATTGTATGTTTCTGCATGCCCCTCTCTGCAGTCTTCAGAAGTTGGATCCTTTTTGGACGCTTTCCATGAAGTTTTAGGACTTTTCAGCCAGGAAAAATGAAAATGAAAAGAAGCTTGGTGGCTTTCTAATTAATCATCCTCCATCTCATAATGATTTCTTCTGATTCAATCTTTCTAAAGATGCAGCAAAAACAAGAGCCTTGGGCAATGTTTTGTAGACAAGGCATTACTACTTGCTAAGAAGCAGAAACTTTTTTGTTTTTCCTGGTATCCTCCCTAATTCTGTTGGCCTCTTTGACCCATGGATCTCTGGATCAATATATTCAATAAAATATATTATAAAAAAACTCTGGGTCAATGCCAGACCCACCAGAACCAATTATTTAAAAATAATCTATTTTTTTCCCAACTAAATGCAAATTATTTTTAGTAAAACCACTTATGGCTTCTTTAAGCTACTTTCTTTACCTCTTCAAAAGTTCACGTTTAGATTATAAAGTGCAATATATCTTCGTTGGAGAAAAATGAGACAATAGAGAAAAATAAAGAAAACAAGATCACCAATCAAAGACAAGCTCTGTTAACTCTCTGATGTACAGTCTTCCAGTTTAGGAACAGCATATGACCAAAGGTTTCTTTTCTAAAATTGGGGATTATTTTATAATTTTATTTTTTATTTAATATTTTGAATGCCTTAAGTCTTACAGTTATTATGGCATTTTGGAGGAGAGACAAATATATAACAGCAAAAGAAAAACTGATTCCAAATTCAGATGAGGCCATTTCTTTTTCCTTTCTTTTGTCCAACAAACACTGCTGTTTAATCAGCTGTGAAAATAGAATCAAGTGTGTGACATCTGGTGATTTTTGTTAATTCAGTCTGGTGCTGCCAGCGTGACATTTTGTCACCTGTCCATGGTCTGCTATTTTTAAATTGTTCTTGTCAGCTAGCTATCTTTTAAGTATAGTGTAAAATATAAGGTTTCGAAAACTGGAAGGCCTACTTGGTTTTGCTGAGTTGAATGATGCTGTGGAAATCTGAGGCTGTGTCCCACTTTTCCCACTGCACGGGGCCTGGTAAATGGGGGTCAGAGGGGATGGAGGGAGAGTTTGGAGAATAGGGTTCCACATGGTTATTCAGATTGTAAAAATCAGTCTCGTAAGCTCAATTCACATTCATATTTAAGAGAACAGTTATTCTTTTCAAAAACTACCTCTACTATTATTCAAAGTGTCAGAGCCCAACTAAAGCTGTACTTTTATATGTCCAAAATTAAAATCAGAATTTTTATTAATTCATACTTAAGTATGCAAAGTCACCTCTTCACTTCTGCAATGTTATGTGATAGGGAACAACTGCTGTATCTTCCCGCAATCATCCCCATTTGCTCTAAAAAGTCAAGTCCTTCAAGAGACCTTCCCAGAACAGAATGTGAGTGCCATGTTCTAGAAAAGGTTATAAGACAAAATGAATATTCTACTGGACTCTGTTTCCTACCACTTTTCTCTATAAAGTTGAAGGTATATACCTTCAGAGAAAGTATCCACAAAATGTAATAATATGATATGCAAGAATACAATAAAATGGTCTTTTAAATCCCTTTCAGGGAAAAATGATTAGAGACTGGTACTATAATATTCTAAATATGTTCCAAAGAACCAAGAAGCAAAAGCTGTGAGCGTAGACCTGAGGTCAAATCCTAGTTTCTTTGCATACCAGTAGTGGATAATTTTTAGTATGTGCCTACATTTCCTCATTTCAGGCCATACTCTGGAACAATTAAATTGGAATTTCTGGAGGTAGTACCCAAGATTAAAGTACTCAGTCTTTTTCTTTCAAAATTCTCAGGAGAAAAAAACCACCTCTCAGGTGATTACATTGCTATATTGAAAGGATCATTGGGCAAATTAATGGGAGGTACCTATAAAAAGATCACTCAACTTCTATCTATTGTGTCTCTCCTCCCGCCACCCTCACTCCCAGTATAGAACAATCACTTTTTTCTAATTTAGAACCTGTGCCCTAAAACTTTGTGTAATCTGCTAACTTTTATACCAGATAAGCTGATAGAGCTTAAGGGAGGTAACACAAAATAGAACTGGAGTAATGATTCAGGTTAGTAAAGAGACAGTATGTTTTTCTGAACAAACTAAGTGTAATGACAGGTGCACTTTTCCTGAAACAAGGAAACCTCCACACGCCACAAAAAGGGCCAATTTTGTGAAAGGCTAAATGCTACTAAATACAAATCGTAATGAATAAATAAAATGCCCTATAACACCAAAGGGGTGGCATCTATGCCTTCCAAATTTCTGTCAATTTAAATTTTAAAGCACTATTATCGGAAGATAGCTATTTTTTCCCCAGTTTGAGTATATATTTGAAAAGCAAACCCTTCAAGATCAGTTCTCAACTGACACCTGCTCTTTTCATTTCTCAAATTTCAGTTCCATGAATGGTGAAGAGAAAATCTTGTCTCTCAATGTCACCTCCACTGCCCAATGTACTGTGGTTGGTATTTCCCTATTCTTCTCTCTCAGTACTTTGTCTTTGAATCTTAATCCTAAGGGAGGGTATGATTAATCAAACCTAATGACCCTGGGTTTTCATAGGGGTTCCCCAGCAGCTGAACCCTCGTCATTAGCAGCAAGTCAGTGGACCACTGTAAGGAGGGTATAAGGATGAACCTTTTCCCTTATCCCTTATTCCCAATGCCAGAAATCCCATTAATCCTCACAGTTATGAGAAGCGTTGAATATCCCTTTAGTCCACTAGAAAAGAGGGCAGAGAATAATTCCTCCCACCCAGGCCTCACTCATACCTAGACCAACCCAAGGACTTTTGTACTTAGAAAAGAAATAAGGAACCATTTTCATTAGTTCATCACCCATCTCAAAACTCTCCTTCTCATCTCTTGGAGGCATTATCTCAAATGAACATTAGGGAAAGTCATATGTAAGATGTGGTAAGAGGCAAATATAATGATGAAATGTTTCTCTGTTATAACCAAGAACTGTAATTTGAGCTCTTTAAGAAGCCAAAATTCAGTCTAAGTTTTATTTAAATAGGGTTCTGTGATCTGATCAACACTGCAGAAGACATTCCTGAGTGCTGTGAAGAAAGACCAATTTGACTTTTTCTCTACTACTTTACTACTGGGGGGCAGGGGGGTGATGGGCCTTTTAAAATCTCCTACAAACACTTTCAACGCTGACCTAGTATTACGTATAAACAAAATTGAAAAACTGTTAAAGCTCTTTACTGAAGCAGAAATCTTAGTACTTCCTGAACTTCCTATTTCATCATTTCTCCCACTAACCCTTTCTTCCCGCTGAATCAAGAGAACAGTTGAACAAAGGAATTTCTTACTCAATACATTTCTAAGATGAAATATCACTGTGAACATATTTTCACCACCTTCACTTTAAGTACATATAAGGTACTTTATTTTTCATGACTGTGATATCCTATTTTATTATACTTTCTTTACATCATTCAGATATGCAATTTTGGAAAGCCAACATAACTTAGGAGGATTCTTTTCCTTTCTCCTTTTGGTGGTTTTTGATCATGACAATCATTATTTACATATGGGAAACACAAAACTTTGGCAACTGGCATTTGCAAGCTTTCAGCATTTAGCTGCAGCCTAGCTAGAAGGAAACACTGTAGGAATATAAAGGTTTAATTTATTGCGCAGGCCAGGCTGTAGGCATACCATTACCACTGCCAGCAAAAAAAAAAAATTATAGATACCATTTGAGCAGTTTCTAGTGTCAGGAACTTGATCTGATTCTGTGAAGTAGGTGCTTTATTTTAACAATGAGGACACTAAGACTTTAAAGAGGCTAACTAATTTATCTAGATCAATAGCTAACTAGAGGCAGAGCCGGAATTCAAACACAGGTTTGAGTGACTGCAAAGTCAGAAAGGCCGAGTTGGAATTTCATCTCCTCTATAGAGAATATAAAATGTCTGAAAGAATCTTAATAAACAATTTTTGTTATCTCTAGGTAGTAGGTCTCAGGTGATTTTTTCCACTTTCCTTTTTGTTTTTTTATGTACTACTTGAATTCCTTACAATGAGAAAGAATGTATTATTTTCTAAAGAAAATTGAGCTTCGGAGGAAAACACCAAAACAAGCAAGCATATAAAAAATCAAGGACTCTATCACTTGAGTGTTGAGATCCTCAAAATAGTGTTCCCATGTTCAAGTGGGAGAAGAGGATACTAAAGAGAAGAGGGAAAACAGAATGGAGTGGAGGGAAGTGTTTCTAGACAGACTCATCCAGAAGCCACCGGGTAGGTCTCCTAGCCCACCACCTTTCTCTTAAAGCACAATTCACCTAGATGCTTACATATTTTGATTTTTAATTGACTAGATGTTTATATCTTTTGACCCAGAGACCCTCTATATGAATTTTCCTTGAGAAAAAACTATGTGCAAGAACTCATCCATGGCAGCATTACCGACAATGGAGGAAAAAAGCTGGGAACAATCTAAGAGTCCAAAGTTAAGGCCTATCAATAAATTATAAAGACCGGATAAAAACATGGATAATGTTTATCATGTGGGAAATAGAAAAATAAAGGTTATGCCCTAACTGGTTTGGCTCAGTGGATAGAGCGTCGGCCTGCGGACTCAAGGGTCCCAGGTTCGATTCTGGTCAAGGGCACGTACCTTGGTTGCGGGCACATCCCCGGTGGGGAGTGTGCAGGAGGCAGCTGATCAATGTTTCTCTCTCATCGATGTTTCTGGCTCTCTGTCCCTCTCCCTTTCTCTCTGTAGAAAATCAATAGAATATATATTTAAAAAAATAAAAAATAAAAAAAATAAAGGTTATGCCATCACAATGTTTCTTTTATTTTTTAATGACCTTTTTGTTATTATAATTTGCTCCTTTTTAAGAGTCAAACGTTACTTAAAATCTTTTCTTTAAAATACCAGCATCATAATTATGTTACTAGAAATAATAAGGTTCAAACACATGATGCTGTAAGTCAGACCTAACAGTCTCCCAGCTGGAAAAGGGAAGCAGGAAGCTCAAACACCCTCACCAGAGGACGCTGACGCGATGCTGTAATTGAACATGGGAAGTGGTCCCCTCATAAGGAAATCAATGTGGGTGGTATGATGAACTAAGAGGTTGCAACTCTATTGAGGCTGTAAAAAAGTACATATTAAATGCCTTCCAATTTCTGAGGACATATAAGTACAGTGCAGAAGGCTTTTGTAGGTGAAACCTCACATTTGCAAGTGTAGTGAAAAAATTTACGCACAGGCAGTTAGACATGCAATATTTAAAAAGGCCACCACAACTGGAATAAGGTATTTACATTACACTGTAGTGAGGTACCCTCCTCACACTTCAACAATGCTACGCTCAAAAGGCAGGGCACAATAGCACCCACTTAAACAATATCCACAAAATTCTGGAAAATTATTTTACAGGCTGTAATCTAATATCCTCTTATATTTTATTGCTGAATGAAAAGAATACAGACTAAGCTAAAACAAATACGCATAAAGAACAAGGCCTGAATATTTTAGGTTAGGAGAGACTTCTAGCTGTTCGAGGTAGAGAAGGCAGACAAATGCAGCCTTTGAAGATATTAAAAACACAAAAGTCTGTGAATATCACGGGTTTCTTTTTTAACATCATTCTCACTTCTAAGTGAAATATGCTTTAAATGGCCATGTACCTAATCTCTCAACTGAAGACAGACATGGAAACAGTGACTAAATATAACAATGAATCAATGAGAGATTTTTTTTCCCTACTTCTGACGGCTTTAAAATATAGCTTTTCTCAAAGTCCTTTCTTTTCTTTATAGTCTGTTAACTACTCTCTTTTCACTGGCAATTGAGGACCGCAGCAGAAAATCATGAGTGTGACAAGAAAAGGATGAAATGGATTCCTGGTGTGGCTGGAGGAAATGGCTATCAGGTGTTCACAGTCATTCCTACCCTCTATAAGAGCCTGCAGAGAACCAGAGGGGATCAAATTCCTCCCCATCCAGAGGACAGGAGGGTTTGGACAAGATGGACATCCCTGTGGCCAACTCTTTACAATGTTCAGATATTAGGCGCTGAACCCAAGCACTGTAGATACTTCAACAGAAAATTTCCATTACAGTATTCAAAAATACCTTGGGGCCCCTAAAAATTCCTATAACCCATAAAAAGAACTAGCTGTAATTATGAATGTAACATCAGCCTCTATCCTGAATTTACATGGGTTGTAAAAGTAGGAAATCCTAATATTGCTGACGCTGGGACTTTCTGCCTTATATTTAAGCCAAAACGTTGACACATTTTAAGACATTTTCCTTAATGTTTTAGCCTGAGAGAATGCAAACGGGTCGCTGGCTGCTCTCAAGTCTGTGTGGTGTTACCTCTCTATACTAGGAAATTGATCATATTTTAATAAAATGAAACCCTTTTGTATGAAGTTTTCTGAAGTAGTCTTTGGAGACTAGTTTACTAAATCTCCTATTTCCTTGCAGTATGCTTGGACTTAAATGAATTATCCAGGTTCGGCTGTGGATTCCAAATGCAAAGCCCAGAAAATGTGGCTTCTGGTCTCATGCCGTAACTGCAACTTCAGCTGCCCAGCACATGCTTCTGCCAGACATTATGATTAAAGCCATCAACCTTGAAAATCATAGGTAGCTGAACCCAGGTTTTAAAAAAATCAACTTTAAATACATTCCACAATGCTTTACAGAAGCAAACAAAAACAAACAAAAAACAAACAAACAAAACAAAACAAAATCACAATTATTAAAAAGCTGATTTTTGTTTAAAACACCAAGCAAGGAATGGACATATGAATATTCCTAACCTGCAAAATGATTCCTCCACATTATATCAGCGAAACTCATTGGTGGGCCACTGGGAGGGTAGTGTTTACCTTTCAGAGGCTCATGATCAGTCCTTATCATATCCATTAAGGAGTTCTCCAACGAGTGCAAGTTAAAAGTGTCATAGGGCCTACTCCGGTCCTAAAAATAAAAACACAGAACAATAAGACAACACATAAAATCACTCCATAAAAATCAATACCATAGCATTTGCTTCTTGCCATGTACTGATGACGTGAATCAAAGTTCCAGATAGTTCTAATAATAAACACACAGTCATTCTTTGCATTAAGAATAATGGCTTATTTCAGAAGGACACTAAACTTACATTAATGCTGGAATTTTAAAAAAAGAATAATGACTTGGCAACATTACGTTGAATACAAGTTTCCATTAATTAATTAAATCATTACCCTTTTCCCCTAATCGTCTTTTATGTACATGTCCCACTCCTTCAGGCTGACTTTTTCTCAAGTGAACTAAAAAAGTAAATTCAAAGGTTAAGAGTCATGTGAATTGGCTCTGCCCTCTGCCCTTCACCCCCTGCACCCACCGTTAAGTGAAGATTCTACTCAAATGAACAGAGGTGCTGGTTTTTTCTGGAGGAAGACCATAATTAAAAACTCTTAGTATAAAATTACTTTCCTGAAAAGCATAAAATTACTTTCCTGAAAATTACTTTCCACAAAAAGTGACTGTAGCTTCAATGTAATTTTATTGCGTATCTTTCATATTTATTACTGATAAAGTCCATATGATAAGGTCTATACATTCGGTATATGTTATAAAAATTACAGCATGTCCAAAGTACTAAAATTACCTTCTGAAAAGCATTCACATGAAAAAAATTTAACCCAAGGTAGTGTTTTCCTGTTAGATTCAAAAACATTTTGCAAATAGAAAGCTAACGCAAAAGAAGTGAAGAAAAATAACTGTTCTGCCACATTTCACTCATGCCCATGGGAGACCATCACCTACCAATTATTTTTAGTAGTCTGAGTCTAAAAGGAAGTGCAGTCCATGGCCTAATTTATTACTAGAGAACAGATTTAGTTAGTTTTTGTTTAAGAAAAGCAAGACAGCCTGGCTGGTGTGGCTCAATGGTTGAGCATTGACCTATGATCCAGGAGGTCACGGTTCAATTGCCAGCCAGGGCACATACCTGGGTTGCAGATTCAATCCCTAGTGTGGGGCATGCAGGAGGCAGCTGATCAATGATTCTCTGTCATCATTAATGTTTCTGTCTCTCTCTCCCTCTCCCTTCCTCTCTGAAATCAATAAAAAAATACTTTTTTTTTAAAAGAAAAGCAAGATAAACATACACCTAAATAACCACACAAAACAAACCATAGCAAAATGAGAGATTATTCTCAGGATCTTGAACAGTTTATCCAGCCTTGCAAATGATCACTTATCCTCTCCTATGAATAACAGAATGACATGATGAGTACGATATAATACGACAGGTATAAACCTCAGCTACGATGACCATTTCCAGGTTTGTCTTCAACTATTGGAAAGCTGTTTTCTTCTGGTCTCTGGTATACAGCCTAGCTGTATACCTATCCAGGGAAGCAAAAAGGGAGGTGACATTTCGGCAGTGAACATAAAGAACTCAGAGGATTACTGGATAAATGAATGCAGCATGAACGCATGCAGGTCCTAGGAAGAGCCCTGAACTAAGAACCAGGAGGCAAGAGTGCTAGAACAACGCTAAACAATTGGGGCTTTGGGGAACATTATGATCCACTGCTCCAGTCTGTGCCTGAAATTCCTCCCTTTATACAAATGAGAGGATTGAGCTACATTATTTCTAATATCTCTGCAACCCTATCCTTTAAAAGAACAACAACAACGCATAGATGAGGAGTAGGAGTGGGGGACACAGACTTTACAAACCTTTAATGCGCAAGTTGAGGGCCACTGCCCTACTAGGCCCTGGCAGTTCAGAAGTAAATGCTGTAGCCTAGTCCAGTGGTCGGCAAACTGCGGCTCGCGAGCCACATGCGGCTCTTTGGCCCCTTGAGTGTGGCTCTTCCACAAAATACCACGTGCAGGCGTGCACGTACAGTGTGATTGAAACTTCGTGGCCCATGCACAGAAGTCAGTTTTCGGAAAGGATATAGATGAAACAAGTATACAAGACGAGTGTGGATGGGAGAGTTGGAAGGGGTCGACCTCAGCGAACGTACCTCAATCAGATTGAGGACGTTTTTAGCAAAGGCCAGCTTAGGAGTACCCTAATTAAGTTAATAACAATGTACCTACCTATATAGTTTAAGTTTAAAGAATTTGGCTCTCAAAAGAAATTTCAATCGTTGTACTGTTGATATTTGGCTCTGTTGACTAATGAGTTTGCCGACCACTGGCCTAGTCCCTGTTTGCAAGTAACTAGCAGAGAGGGACATAACCAATTAAAATAAGAGTATGACAGGTGCTTTGACAGAGGAATGTATGCAGTACAACGGAAACTAAGTCACATCTGTTTCTTAAACAGCGCATATTTGTGTATGTGTGTATTGTAATTATTTTTCAAACTCCCATTCTATAAAGCCCTAGGTGTCTTGAATATGGACCTGTCATGTGACCAGATGTAAGGCTTGTCTTAGTCATTCTCAATGGCCGCAGTATTCTCCCTAGTAAAATAGGATCCTGTTAGAATTAGGTTGAAATTACTTAGTATTTATTTTAGGCACATTGTGTGTGCCAGAGAGCAAGTAGTCAATATTTCTTAGTTTCCTGATGCGTTCCCCCACCCCAGCCATTTTTTTCTTTTAACACTCATCAGTTATCTGTTCCTATTGTTGGATAAGAAAGAGACATGGAATATTTTCTTTGGTTCTCCATTTTGGTCTCTATATAATTTAAGAAGGTCCTTTCCTTTACCTTTCCGGTCTGCCTGGAGATCATTTGTTTTGCTTTGGGTTAAAGTTATCAGTGGAAACTTGAATTAGTTAAGGAATAAAGCTGAACTTCCAGAAATGCAGGCTTATCTTTCTCCATAAGAGATATCATATTCTTTGCCCAAAGAAAAAGCCAGAGGTAATAAAAAAAAAAAGTGTGCTGATGAAGAGGCAAATGACAACCTATTTATGGCACTGATGATCCCATAATAAATGTCTAGGAGTCTTCTATCATACCCATCCACACCTCCCACCGGACTGTTTGAAGAGAGGCTGCTAAAGTGAAGGGACTATAAGAAATGGCTGTTTTAAAGCATCCAAGAATCTTTCCAGCCAGGACAGTTTCTTTTTTCCCCATTTAATTCTTGGTATAATCTTCAAGGTAGATAACATACTCATTTTACAGAGGGAGATGAGGTTCAGAGATGATGCAAGTCTGGATCTGACCTCAACGCCAATACCAAGGAGTATAAAAATCTGTCCAAGAAATTAATCCAATCCATTTGGGATATTACATGAAAACTCTTTAGAAACACAGCGTTGCATCTAATCACTGATGAAATGATCTTCCTGTTAAGGTGGTAGTGAGTTCCTGTCAGAAGATAATATCAGATGTTAGGTGACTACCTGTCAGGAAAACTGGAGGGGATGTTTGGAGAGGGTTCGTATACCTGAAGTGGTTCCCAAACCGGTCAGAATGTCAAAATCACATGTAAAACAATTTAAACGTAGGTTCCTGGTCCCCAGCTAAAACCCACTTAATCATAATTAAAACAAAATAAATAAATGTCCAGGGTGATTGCATAGATTTGAGAGCCACTAGACTGGATGATTCTTCAAGTTAACTAAGCCTTTAACACTCATGAATCTGATTTGTAAAATGGGGCAGTTAAATAAGGGAGGGGACTAGAAGGACAGCGTCAGCAAATAAACAAGCCTGGCTGCTTTGCCAAAAGTCAGCTTTGCAGTCTTTCAGTGGATTGTGAATTAGAGAAACAATGGGTGGTCTGGTTTTTTAAAGCCCAAACACTGAAATCCGACATCTGATTTTCAAATTCTGGCTCTGCCACATGCTGGCATGTCACTCTGCACAAATTTTTAAGGCTTGATTATCTTCATCCATAAAATAGGGGTGATAATATTTCTCTCTTTATAGCTGTCTTCAGTGCTAAAGACAGAATGTACTGCAAAGCATCTATACAGTGATGGCTACTGGAATATTAGGGAGAATACATAGAGACTTCTGTGATGCCAGGTCATGGTACTGGGGCACAGATTAAAAGACTAGAGGTGCACAGATGCTAGCCTAGCAAGGCCCACTCGTGCTCCGCAGTGTGACGTGTGAAACGCATGACAGAATGTGCCCGGGCTTCTTTAACTGAACAAACTTCAGTGCTGAGAGGCTTAATTTCTCACTAAAATTAATTCTAGCTATGCCTCATCAATTTCTATTTGCTGTATCCTTTTTGTTTTACAAGTAGTAAACATGGCTGAAATAACTGATTAACCAGGAAGCCTGAAAGAAGCAGAGAAAGGATAGAAAAACTAAAAACTCTGCAGTGAAATTCCACAAAAATTATGACTAGAACAAACTAACCACAATTTACCCTTCCACAACAAAGGTTACGGGTGGCAACTAATCTTCTTAATCTTTTTTCCATACATTTTGTTTCCCAATATAGGAAAAATAAGGAAAACATCTTTTTCATTTGTTTTTAACACACAAACACATCAGGAAGTATTAGGACATTTATAAATAATGTATCCCATTATTGACTCTTTTCCTCTGAATATAACCAATGACAGATGTTATCAGTTACTTGTACACAAAGGCAGTCCACCCCCACTATACAGCTCATTAGCCCTGCTTTCTTTCTTCCCCCAGCTTGACTTAATATATTAATAAATTATTCAAGTACTTAATATGTGCCTGGCACTGTTCTAAGTATGCTAAATGCATTACCTTACAACTCTACAAGTTAGGTCACTTTTATCCCCATTTTATAAATTAAACTATTAAATCTTGGAGAGATTTAAGTAACTGGCCCAAGGTCACAGGGCTAGTAAGCAGCTGAGCCAGGGCTCAAACCCAGTCAAATCCAGACTGTGCTCTGAGGACATTCATTGTACTGCCTCCCTGCCTGCCTCCCGCCTACTTCACCTTAAATCCTTTCATAAACATCCCCTTCAACCTAATCCTGGCACAATCAGAGAGAGGCCTCTTTGACCCCACCCTGC